GCAAATATGTGGTTTAATTGTGACGTAGTGCAGAACGCGCACTCATCGGCAGTTTTTTTTTTCTAAAAAAAAAAAAAAACTTGAATAAAAGGGGGGCGTATGTGATGTGTGGTGCGCGTTCAAAGTGCGCGCCTTCGAAAAGTGCGCGTCACGAAAAAAAAACAAAAACAAAAGGAGAAATACCAGAGTGCACGTGCGGTGCTGCTTAAACAAGAATGACGACGTTAAAGAGCGTCAAGCACGAGGATGCGTGGCAGGACGTGAAGTAAACAAAAGGTAAAACATCCAATGGGCAGCGAACACGGAGATTTCAAGGCCCAATGGCTTGACACCACGAAACAGCAGTATCTCCAATGAGAACGAGACAAGTGGGCCAGAGCTGAAGCAGGAGCCTGAGGGGACCAGAGCAAGGGGAATTCGAGGCAGGCAGTGCAAGCGGAAGGTCGTCACCGGACCGGGCGCTGAAGATGGGCCGTTGGGTTCCGGACCCGAGCCTACAGGACTTCCACCGGCCGGGGCCTCCTGCTGTCGGGTTCCCGCTCCAAAGGACCGTGGCCATCCGGTCCTGAACTCCTTTCCAGGGCCTGCGGACTTTGGTTCCGGCAGGCGAGCTACAGCCGTCGGGCTCCGGGCCCGAGCTGTGCGCCCAGCTGCTTGACTAGGTCGACCCTAGTTCCCGGACGCGTCGCCACCAGCCTGCGTTCTCCCGTCTCCGACGTGTCCACGCTCCTCAAGCCGAAACCATCACGATTTGGTAGGGCTTTTCGACGTGTCGCCAGCAGCCAGCGTTCCCTCGTCCTCGTCCAGCCCACGCAGTGACGCAGGAGTCACGGCGTTCCGGTTTCTCATCACCGCCGAAAACCAACTTGTGGGTGAGACTGCACCGATACTCTTGCGCTACTCCCATCACTCAGCCTCTTTCGAACGTTAGGTTTAGTTACTGACTTTGAACGTTCTTGTTGGGTGTTTACAGATGTGTTCGTCATGTCCAGTCAACTGTTATAAGCTATGTCTGGAAACCTACTCAGCATGCCTGACGAGACCTCGCGAGACAAAGGCCAAGGTCAAGGCAGCTGCTATACCTTGAACCACGTAGGAACGTTGGACTGCCGTCATTTAGCAAGAAAAGTTGGTTTTCGGCGGCCAAGGACACCAACTTTCTCCCGGAGAAAAATACATGAAAACAGTAGGGAACAATACATAATGCTGTGGCTGGTTTGATAGCTAGCCTAGACCGAGGGGAGGCGAGTTTTGTGCAACGTGGAGTATAGGTAACTTAGAGAAAAGTGGGATAACAAGCTATACGCTAGCACATGCGCACCTTGCACTCAACTAAAAGGTAGTCTCACCACGGGTCTTTGCAGAGCCACGAAGGCAAACCCTCGGCACAGGCGGCAATTTTCGTCAATGGCTGTAAAGAAACCTTAAATCGAAAATGAAGGAAAAAAGGTTCACTGACGATTTTCATATGGTTTAACGCGAGGTCTGAGCGTAGGTGCTTAGGTATTTGATTCTGAGATAAGCTGAGGTGCAAATGTCTAGCTAGCCAGTCAATCAACTGTCCAGTTAGGCAGCGCGTGAACGCGTTCCACAACAGCCGCCACAGGCAGGCCTTCGTTCATACAGCGCTTAATTTTTGTCTATGATATCAGGAACTCCCTCGCCGCATACCGCAACATAAGGATGTGATCGGGGACCACACGAAGGCGCACACTACTTTTATGGTGGCTACTACTTTGGCGCAGTGCGTGGCCGTGGCGGAACCTGTCGTCTCACCATTGTCATCCCTCCTTACTCTCTGCTCGCTGTCACCGTCTTTCGTTCTCACCATCACCGGATTTAGCTCTCTTTCGACCTCGTTCGGTTTGCTTTTTATGATGACGCCGATGCCACTTACCGCTGGAATGGGCGCCTGGAAGTTGCATCTCAAACTTGTTTCCGGAAAATTAGACGTAAAATCCAAGATACCGCAGAAGCGTTTCGCACACGAAGTGCTCCTTCAACAAATGCACGTCATTTTATTCTCCAAATCCTCGCAAGCATGCACTAGATGCTTGTGTTGCGCTGTCATACGCAGCGCGAGGAGGCAGGAGGCAGTGCAGACGCTTGCACAGATGCTCACTGTGCTCTGACTTTGCTTTACACTTTGCATGCATTTTCAACCCGGCCCTTCTTGAGCAAATGCTCTCACTGGAGGCAACGTTTCTACTAAGAAATATATATATGTGCGGTTGAATGTCCCAAAACCACCACATGATTATAAGAGACGCCGTAGTGGAGGACTCCACAAATTTCATCCCCCTGGGGTTCTTTGACGTGCACCCAAATCTGAACACATGGGCCTACAGCATTTTTGCCTTTATCGAAAACGCAGCCACCGCAGCCGGGATTCTATCCCCAGCCGCCGACTAACTTGGATCCGCGGCGGGGTGGAACACTTGTAGTCCTTGAAAATTATAACGTAGCGCCAACTGCATCCCTTCACTTCTGCCTCCTCACCTAGCAGCTGCAGCAGCGCCCTTAGCGTGCCCTGAAGGAAACTACGAGTTTTCCCCATTGTAGTGAAATAACTTCTGTCAGGAGAATATAGTACCTGTGTATGCTGCCACTGACACAGCAGGTCGGCGAACCAAAGCATCCCGAACCGCCATTCTAACAGCCTCAAGCGCTTTGAACCTCGTACCGCGCACCGATCAAGTGAAGAACTCAGGCACACACGAATAAAATGGTGCTCGCACACGATCTTCTGAAAAGGTAGTGCGGCACTCTTATTAAGAATTAGCGATTTGTTAGCGCCAGCAAGTTTGCGTTGGTGCTGACTTGCATCTGGAGTGAGCAGTTCCTCTCCATAAAATTATGTACCATATAGTAAAGTACTGTTAGACACCGTGCATGAAAATGCTGCAATTGCTTTTTTTATCCAATAAAATGTCTTATTTGTTGATACCTTATATACTTTTTTATTTCAAAGGCTCACACCCCCGCCCTCCATGTATGCGGCACTTACGACCGCAGCGCCATCATGCGCTCTACCGGAAGATTTGCACAAGCAGCTTAAGTAACTTCTCGGGAATAACTAGCTAACCAACTGGAATTTAGCTAATAACTAATTATATGGAATGAGGAATTAACTGGAATTCACAAAGCGCAGGAGGTGCCTGAACATTGACACAAATGGCACTACTTTAGTTGACTGAAAAAATTGCGCTACAGTTGCTGCGGAGAATGAAGTTAGGGAGAAGACAAGAAATGAAGTACATAGTACAAGCGCAAATGGTTACAGCAGCAACTGTAGCGCAATTTTTTCAGTGATGAAAAACCAACTAGCTCAATACCTCACTTTGCTACTTTAGTTATTTTTCAGGAACTTGAAGTTTCTGCATGTGGTATTTTCTTCTTCAACGAAGCTACTGGGTATCTCATTGCGCTTGTGTGCATACTTTGTACACTCTCTCTCATCCAAAATTGTGTCGCAAGACAGGGCAAGTGCGCTAAAGGGGTGGCAGAAGGAAAGAGTGGCTTATACTGACATAAGCTGACGAGCCTTATTGAGGGAGTTCAGCGGAAACACAGCAGTAGAAGAAGGCGAACGTAGAGATGGCAGCGAGGGGGGAGGGAAGGCACATGGCTTGTGTCGATTCCTTCTCTGCGTCAAAAGGGTGAAAGTCGCCGACCAACTATGGGCCGTCCAGCAGGCCCAGGAAGCGGCCGCCAGGTACTCCCTGTTGGTCCCTAAGAGGGAGACGCCCGCTACGCGCTAAGCGCGTCCTGCAGGACTGAAATAGAGTTTTTAAAGATGACAGTCTTTCTTGGGGACCTTCCACGCAAAATTTTTGGTCTGTCTGTCGGTCTGTCTATACATTTGTCTGTTTATCCACTCTTAACGGCATCGAGTATTTGAAACGGTCGACCCCCTCCGCAGCGTCCACCAATGCTGCTCAAGGTTGAACGTTCATACTAGTGCGATTGTCAATTAAAAAGCAATTATTGCGCATGTCTGGGGCACCAAAGCAACACGTATATATTCTGCATGTGCGTCGTTCACTAGAAAAGGCATACATAAGTAATTTTAAGGACCGCAGCGCTTATCACGGTGCGATGACCATGCAACACTTGCACGGAACGCGGAGTGTTTCCAACGCTTTGCTAAGATGAGACAGTGGTGGCACCTACCCGTCTCCTAGCGTTGTACACCTTATCACCTCTGAGACGGGCACGCCCACCGTCTCAAAGCCGCGCGATTTGTTTTGTAAAAAAACTGCCAGGTGGCGCTCATATAACACGTGTGACGTTACTTGATGCGCTCGTTCGCCTCCACTGCACGCTCGAGGCACTCTAACGCAGCGCCTACAGAATGCCACTCACCGATTTTCTTGCGCAGAACATCAAATAAATGTCTTGTTCACTCTCTCCACACGCAAGACTATCGTCTTTCGATGACATTTGCAGAAACATGTAGATACGGGGCCAATTTTTTCATTCCATTACATTGGAGTTTGGTTGGAGCATAAAGCTGAAGCATGCGTGTCACGTGTGAGCAGCGACTAAATATGATAATTTCATGGTCATTTGGCCTGTTTTTGTTGTATGTCTACCACACCGGATTGAATCTTTTGCTGCTGCTCCTGTTAGCTGCTTTTCAAGACAATAACTTGAATGGAGCAAATGAAGTGTGGCACAGGAAAGGGTTGCATTTTCGCAGGCCTTTTCTCACTGACGAAAATAAACCCGGAACTACTGAGGCCGGCTGCATGTAGGTATACCTACTCCAACGATTGCACTTGTAAATAATTATACTGACCTTCTCAGAATTTTGGCTATTAGCCATCTTTCTGCAATAAGGCCGTTTTTAAAAATGTCTTCAGAACACACACAAATAAAAAGTAAATGCAAAAGCCAAAAAAGCTTTTTTGAATAGAAGCTATCACGCAGGGGCAGTAAAGTTATTCTAGAATGAAGTATTTGCACATTGACTCTCATATTTATTGAATGCCGTGCAGATACCAGTGGTCTCTGATCTTCCAGTGGGACGAAGCATACAAGACCTACGTTCTCCTCTTTACGGCAGTGCCCGTAATCACGAATCAGCCAGTCGGCATACCGTTATTTAGCCTAGGCGATATTGCACAGTACGAGCGTAACAGAACAGGTGAGTCCACATTATTACAGGTATCAACTAAAGTTGGAGTGACGCTAAGTAAAACAATAGTTTGATTAAGATTGACAAAGTTTACACTGGGAACTCTAACTTCGTTGCAGTAGTGCGCCTAACTGGGCTAAGTCTGTACAGTATTGAAACGACAAGAAACAGCGCTGGATACGGGACTGTGAAAGGAAGACAGAGAAGGGCGCTGAAATAACAACTACTGGTTTATTACTGGGATCTGCAACACATGCAAAAGCTTGGCGCAGGAGAACAACAAATACTCGGTGTGTGCGTAGAGAAATACAACTCATCATGCCTGACACCTAGAGACTTAGCTGAGCACTGCGAAGAATGTGACTATCACCCTTTTCTTGAGCGGCGCACCACTTTTGGAAACGTATAGAGAGCGCAGAACACGTGATATTAGTGGAGCTTGCCATATCAGTTCACGTGGAAACGCTTGCGTTAGTGCACCGTCGACTTATTTTCATAACTATGAAGTAAAAACTTGTAAAAAAATGACAGCTTTTTTGTTGACGCATCTGACATGATGCGTGGTCTAGTGGCTAAGGTACTCAGCTGCTGACCCGCAGGTTGCGGGATCGATTCCCGGATGCGGCAGGCTGCATTTTAGATGGAGGCGAAAATGCTATAGGTCCATGTGCTCATATTTGGGTGCACGTAAAGAACCACAGGTGGTCGAAATTTCCGTAGTCCTCCACTACGGCGTTTTTCATAATCATGGGGTTGTTTTGGGACGTTCAACCCCACATATCAATCAATCATCTGACATGATGACTTCCTGTCTCTCTGCACATATACAGTGTTTTTTTGTTCTTATGTGCCAGGCTTTTGCATATATTGCATATATCTCAGCAACAAACCAGAAGTTGTCAATTGAGAGCCCTTGTCTCTCATTCTATCACCATCCAGTCTCCAGCACTGTTTGTTCCCGTATATTGTCAAATTCACCACCATTACCACCTAAATAATAGAAGAAAATTATGGTCAAGGTTTCTTTTTATATTTCTCGCCGAAAGCGTCACTTCTGACATCGCGGATGTCGAAGCGTATCTTTCTTTGCTATGTGGTGTTTAACGTCCCAAAACTACCGTGTGATTATGAGAGACACCGTAGTGGAGAGCTCTGGAAATTTTATCACCTGGGGTTCTTTGCCGTGCACCCATATTCGAGCGAAGCGTATCTTTCGTATCTTGCCGACATCGGACAATACATCTAATTTTTACTGATTACTAACTATGACGTATACGTAAGACTATTATACACCATCAAAGTGTACGAAATCACAGCGATTGCTGAGGATATTTTAGGATGGCGTCACCCATCGCATTTTCTTTGTTGCGCGTTTTTTTTTTTGCTTACGAAGTGTTTATTCGCAGCAGTAGTGGGAATTTTCGACTTTCGGAAGAATAGTTTGCTGATCTGGGAAAAAATGTCTTCTTTCTTCAGTGTCTTTTTAAGTCTGTACCGCATCCAGCAACCACGAATACACATTGCAACTTCTGTTTGTCAATCGGGAATGGACAACCTAATGCGGTGCGAGGATATTGTTTATCAATCATGTTTTTTTTGTTGGTCACATTAATCTTGGTTTGGTCGTTTGACGCCTTAGATAGCCTTACCATTCAATAAGGTTAAACAGCTACGTTATAAAACGCAAGACGCTCTAAAACTGCTTCGTTAAGGGACACAAAGAGTCAAGAAAGCGTACGAAAAACAAAACCCTGCCTTTAGTTTTGGTCGTCTAATTGCAACTCACGTCGGGTTGTTTCTCCCGATCCTGTTAACGGCCCAAAGGGGAGCCCACTCTCGCTCCCTCTTTTCCGAGTCCCCAAACTCGGTGGATAAACCTGCCAGTGGAACACATTTGTCGGCTACAGAGCATTGTTCTGGTGTTAGCACAGTTGTTGCCTCTCCGGACATTGAAAGAAACCGTGGTGACCCAGAAGGAGTGAAAGGAGAGAGAGAGTCGAGGAAACGCATACTTATAATTATTCGTGGATGACAGGAACAATATCGATACCGGCGGCTGTGGAGGTACTGCACTTTCTCAACACTCAAAATACCACAAGCCCTGAGCCTCCCAACATTATACTATGCCTACTTTCGAGTCAACCTGCCAGCCAACTAGCGAGAGCTGAGCTGCTCAACATAGGCATGCCACCAGAGGTGAGTAGCGGTTTTCTGTCAGCCCGTAAACCAGAACTAGATCTGTTATTTACTATTAGTGCCTCCAGGGCTGAGCGGACACCAGAGGATTGGGATTGATTGATATGTGGGGTTTAACGTCCCAAAATCACCGTATGACCAGAGGAATGGGAACCTGATTCCAACGTCATTAGGACAGATATTCTTCCAGTTCTATTGCAAAAACATGCAGCTGCGCCCCTCTGTTGAATAACTGCGGTATTTTTTTAAAGAACGGTACCTATGTTGGTTGCACAATGATAAGGCACAAAAAGTTACCCGGAATGCTAGGAAGTGGCGAACACATGATAAGTACTTCAATTATGCTAACAAAGAAAAATACGTCCTATCATATGAAAAAAAAGGAGGTTGCGATTACATGTTCGACTGCTTTGTTAATGGGCGATATCCTATTCTATATGAATCTGTTATTAGGAGGCATAACACACACACACACTCTGTGTGTGTAAAGGGAGGGGGGGGCTCGATGTCTTTCCCTTGTAGACTGTGTTCCCTAATATAGGATAGAAATACTTTTTTTTGTTAACTGCATCATTCCGTGAAGAATGCATGTGTGCAAGATATTGGTATCAGTCCTGTGAGCTATATTTGTTTCGAGTTGGAAACGAGCAGTCGTAGATTACCATAAATTTACACATCTTACAGTGAAACCTGTTTATATGTTGCAAGAGCCCACGTGCTTCGCTTACGCAAGAGCTAGATCTTCGCATGGCTCATGCGCAGGCTTACGACAGCTATTTGGCTCCCCGAGATACTGTTCCCGGCTTCAGGTTGGCGGTAATCAATGTCCGGCCCGAATCAAGGGGTCGCATCACGTTACGTTCATCGGATCCAAACGAGTACCCAGACATCGACTTGCGCTTGATGGAGCATCCTCAAGACGTCAGAGTGGCCGCTCAAGGCAAGTTGGTCTGAGCTGTCTGTGATATAGCGTATCTGAACTCATTTCGAAGCTGCCTTAAATGAAAACTACTTGATTTGCTTCAAAATTTCATGCGATGAAACTGTATTGCTCTAGTTCCAATCTATGCGTAGATTCTCATTACACATGCAGGACGCCAGTAACAAATTTTTTGTGTGACTTGCCTGTTGAAGGGTAAATGAAGTGTTTCTGACTTTGTCGGAAGCAGTAACATCGTATCGTAAGAAATGTGTTCTAATGAGCCAATGAAATCTCATAACTGCACTCCTTGTCAAAAAGTATCTCACGGACAGCATATTCCGTACTATAGCTGCAGAATCTCAATCATAGCTTCAAGTGGTGAAGAGAAATAGGTAAATCAATTAAGAACATTCATAAATTAATGGATTAAAAAGATCTCGAAAGAGCAATTATTCCGTCGCTTAAAATGACCTGTTGTACTTAGCTGAGTCTCGCGATAAATTTGTCGTCCTTTTACTAGGTGTGAAAGACCAGCAGAAAAACGTCACTCTAGTTGGTCAACTATACATACGCTTTTTGAAGGAGAGAGAAACAGCATGACAGGTGAAAGGCAGCGTGGTTAGCCAGGTTGAATGTGATTTGCTACCCTAGCTGTGATGTAGCTGTGATGTAGCTGCGAAGGGGGAAGGATGGCTAAAGAATGAAGAAATAAAAACAACTGATATAATCTCACAAATGGTTGTCACGAGTCAGAACTGCAATAATATCCAGTTGAATCGCTGGCATCGTAGAGAAAGATACAAAAAAAGGCTTATAAGTATTGTTACATATATCCTGGCATCACTAGTCTGGTTTCAATAACATTCACTTTATTTGAAGTCCAGCGGAAGGAGATTCTAACGACGACTTACTTGGTCAGACTGCCACACACTGCGAATATGAAGTGGCTCATACTATTGGCTACGTGGCACATGGGTGTTTAGTAAGACAAGACAGTTCAATCAAAAAGTCTTCCTAGAGAACGTGGCTCACGTATACCTAAAAGAAACTTACCTGCTCTTCATCGCAGGCACAAAGATCTTCATAGACAAGATACTAAGCACACATGCCATGAGGGAAATTGGCGCGAAGCCATGGGACGTTACCTTCCCTCCTTGTGCCGATGCGGGACCAGCGGTGGAGCTTGGAATACATCGAGTGCCTCTTCCGACACATGGCGAATCCTGTGTGGCACGTTTGCTGTTCTGCACCCATGGGCTCGCATTCGAACGCAGTCGTGGACGAACGCCTTAAGTATGAATATTAGATAAATACGCAAGTAGAGAAGGGCATTCGATTTCATTTAAGCGCAGTGTCCGACTGAAGACAACGCGTGAAATACGCCAGCAATATGCTCGGAAGAAGTCATGCGGATCTCAGCAGCTTTTGCTTATCTTGTCGAGAAGCAGTAATCTATAGATGTCTTACAGCTATGTCACAGCACAAACCCGCCGCGACCCAGTTTTTGTGATCTCGTGCTCAATAATGTTTTCGGTACATCGTCTGCCGGATATTTTGTTACGCATGCACAGGGGCCTACTATTTTAGTAATAATATTATTTGGTGGAGTTGAACACCCTAAAACCAGCATTATGATTATGAGAGACGCCGTAGCGGAGGGCTCCGGTAATTTAGACCACGGGGGGTTCTTTAACGTGTACCTAAATATAAACACACGGACCCCAAGCAGTTTCGCCTCCATCGATGATGCGGCCGCCATGGCCGGGATTCAATTCCGCGACTTCAGCAGCCGAGCGCCTTATCCAATAGACCGCCGTGGCGGGTGGGACAAAGCCTTTGTGTGGACATCGCTATGCTATTGAAACAGCTTAGCCCCCCACGTGGGCGTGCCGGCGTGACGTCATCATAGCCGCCATCGGAGTACCAGTACTTTAAGAACCTGCGTCTGAGACGTCGTGTGCAAAAGATTATTAGGATCGACAAAATGAAATATAAACATTCCTCGCTCAATAAAAAAGTAGGTGTAGTAAACACCACTTTTTCTTGAGACCAACATCCTGAGACACAGTCCTAAAGGAGCACCATCTTTTTTTTTTCGGATGTTCATATTGAGCGTCAAGTGTACGTCCAGAATCGCAAGACCATGCCCGAAAGGCTACAATATGTAGCCTCACACGCACGTAATAATTTAAAGTGAGAACCTTTGCACAGACAGTATCAGTATTTTTTTCGAAGCGCCTGTATCTGTACGTCATGACCGTGAAGATTCTCGTGGTGTTGCACCATGCTGCAGCATATTGGCGCTTACTCCCACACACTGAGTCGTGTTCTGCGTTGCCAGCTTACGACATTAGGCTCCTCGAGCAGCCGAGAGCCCAGACCACTCAAGATTAGCTGCTACCAAGTGTTCGCTCTTTCAGCCATGATGAGTATAGTTACAGCATAACTCAGAAAAAGTTTCGCCGCAAGGTCGACACATTCAGCACGGTAGCGTCAAATGTGAATGTTACACGAGGTAAGGCCGGCCACTATTTTGGATCTGAGGGCGCATAACTTTACATAACGCCGCAGATTAAACAATTATGGCCACTCCAGGAGCGCAGCTCATTTCCTCGCGGCTGTCGTCTCGAAGAGAACCCTGATGTCTGTCAAAATAGCGCACGCGCGTCAGCTTTCACTTCCACACCCTTATTATCGAAGTTCGCATGATGAAACTTATGATCAAAGTTAGCTTCTGCTTGAGGATCTGTAGACGGAAGGCCTCGCACGTGGGGGCGATGTTTTGCAGAGCAGCGGAGATTTTTTTCATATCTGCTTTAGCTGTGTTCATCCCCAGTACGGTCGTGTTTTTACTTGCACGTAGAACATACAATAGACTTGGCGAGGTTATTGATTTGAACTTTATGCAGGATATGATGGTGACAGCCAAAGTCAGCTAAAAGTGTTCATATAGCAAAAAAAACTGGACGTGTTGGCGGAAAAGAGCTGCTATCTCAAGTAATTCACGGTGCTTGAGATTTGACATTATTACTTCTTCTGGTGTTGGAAAACGCACACGAGCACTCGCAAAAGAAAGCCCGAAAAAGCAAGCTCGTTCAGCTTAAATAACTGCGCATAGCTCTTACAGTCGATATCGTGAGCATAAAAAACAGCCCAAGCAATCAAGTAAAATGTCATCAACGTCATTTTACACGAAAATTGCACAGTTCTATGGCCTGAAAGTTTGACCTATTCGGGTTGACTGGAAATGAGTAAAAAAGGAGCTAGTGTTGAAAATAGATTTAATGGGTACATTTCGTTGCCGAAATACGCACGACTCACAATTAGATGACCGTGTCAAGAGAGAAGGAAAATTCATGCTGCATTGTGTCTGTAAAATTGGCCATTTATAGCAGCGTAAAAATTGCACGAAATTATATGCAGCAGCCGAACGAAAAAACCTGTGACAATGAAGGTCCCGTGAACATTGCAGAAAAAGTCGGATGCATACATAATAAAGACTGTAGACTACAGAAAAATACATGCTATTCTATATTAGGTCAACTATTTCTTGTATTTTTGTACTTACCTTCTTCAATTACGTGGGCAGCGTTATCGTTTGGCCACTAATATACAAAACGACGTACCCACAGTCCATGAAACTTCTAGAAGTTTTGTAGTGTGCAATGTATCCTCCATATAACCACCCGTCCTTTCAGGGTCAGAGGCATCGCTGGTCTTCGGGTGGCCGATGCCTCCGTGATGCCGGACATTGTCAGCGGCACGACTCAAGCAGCAGCTATGATGATCGGAAGCAAGGCGGCAGCTATGATCATCGAGGACAATAATTCTGATGGGTACAAACCCTGGCATAGTCGACAGAGTTTGCATTAATACTATCGACCATATGCTTTGGCAGGGTCTTGTGGATTTCATGAACCGTGACAATGAAAGATACCGGTGGCAAGGAGTTCTTCACAGCGGGGCGCTTTCACATCAAGCGCCTGCTGTCCGGAAGACCTACGATGCGGCTCCCACGTTGAACCTTGCTGTTCCAACGTGGAAGCCGCCTGCTTCATCCCAAGGGTTGATCTTCAAGACGTGAATAAAGTTAAACTTCAAACCATAGCCGATAGAGTCTACCGTAACAATCTCTGGCAAAAGTTGCGAATAGCAGAGCGTTTATCGAAGGAGGAGGAATAAACATTATATTTAAGCGGCCAACTGAGATTTCTGTGGGTGGAGCCCTTATTCCAGGGCCCCACTGGCCCTAGCGGCTCGCTTAACCTTGTCCAAGGTTGCCCGCTGGCTTCCCAGGTCTTGCCGAGTGAGTTGCACCTCAGGCTGGCTCGAAAGAGCGAGCAAGTGAAGCTACACTTATGTAATTTTTATAACGTTTCAAGATTTCTTGGGCTATGATTCTGCACACTGTCCTACTTTTGTTTCTTGTGAGCCCACGTGTTTGGTTGGAAGATGGCCGGCACCCACAATCCTGACAATTCCTAAATACCTACCAATAACCTTACGTACGTTGTACCTCTGTTCCTAAAGACGTTCATTAAGGAACCTGAACAATATCCCTTATATGTTTCGTCATATAATTGTCAGTTTGCATTATTGTCTAACGAAGATAACGCGTCCTTAAATTTACCCTTGTTTCATTCATAGCCGGGATCTTGTTCTGGCAGACTTAGCCTTCAGGAAGTATGTGAGGGATCAATGGTCAGCAGCCAGCCCGTAAGATCGCACACTACGTGACGCCAACAGGCAAATGAGTGTTCCACATTCACCTCAATGACAACAGATCGTACTTACAAGCTCCCATGTTTAAATGCACAGACATACCCCACTGCAGGCGTTTGTCCTGTAGTGGACGTAGTCGATGGCAACGATGACGACGATGATTGATGATGACATACTCCATAAAGTGGGCGGGGGGATAGCCGCCATGGTTGCTCAAAGCGTCGGACGAGTTAGACGAATTACGCACGTTTGGTCCCTGCCCACGGCAAGTTATCCATTGGTCCACTTTTCTTTCCTCGCAACTAGATTACAATTACTTCTAACAACATCCCTTATACCTTCCTTGGCATAATTGTCAGTCAGTTCTCATCATTATTCTCTCTAACAAAGTTTAACAAAATTAACGATAATTTTTTGGCAAAACTTGCGATACCGATAATTCGTTGCTGTTACCTTGACTAATTTTATGTAGGTCGTCTTCTGTTTCTTGTGATACACTCATATATATTGCTGTGGAGAAAAATAAACAGTAGCAAGTTCAGATATCTCTATGCCCACTCTATGCTCGTCTTCGTTCCACACGGTGTGAAACGTTGAAATCATTCTACACCAATTAGCCCAATGCTCAGCCTTAGTGCGCTTTAACACTATGGAAGCCTTCCTGGTAAGTAACCACACTATTTATTTCTGTACTAGCCTTTACCCAAGAAAGTGCACTATCGCGACACGTGGGTGCAATTAAGTCAATCAAGTGTACTTGCTGAGAACATAAACAAGTAGCGCTAGATACAAGGCGAAACTATAGACAGTCAGCGCCTTGTCTGTCGATCTATTAATGTCACTCGAATATTGTCTGTTCCAGTATTAACCAACTGCTTAGTTAGATGCGCTCAGGCATTTAACGAGTACCTAAAATTTTCGAAGATCTAGGGTTTCTTATAGCGCCATCTACATTGGAACACATGAATTCTTCCATAACAAAATATGTTCACCTGCCATTGCTGCCATTATAACCACAACACCCGCGCTATTAGCTCGTATCAATGCAACGCCGCAGTTGCGAAGTCACTACGGTGAGTGTTCGTTATACGGTCATACTTCGGCATGACTATGGCAACCTTTTGAGAGGACCATGGCAGAGAATAAATCAGCTAGAAGCAGTTTTTTTGCCTGTGTCCAAAATGATTCGTGGGGATATGAGAAAGTGCTTATTCGAGAAATTTCCGCAAGGACGCCCACCAGGCGATCTTCTGCTGAAGTGGCACATGGTGTGCTGCGAAGGAAAAGCTCCCGGGGAAAAGCTCATGAATGAACTTAATAATCGCTCGAGTCTCAACGTACACACTCAGGCGCAAGTGGTGTTTTGCTGGTTCATGGTTCTAGTGGGCAGGAGAGAGCATGATAAAGGAACATGATAAATCATAATAAAGGAGCATGATAAGGAGCTTGTGTATATGTTCAAAACTACACACACAATTACTGACATGAGAGGAGTCAAGACACCAAGGTCGATTGCAATACTGCCCAACGAAAAACTTTTGTACGTCCCCGTCTTTACTTAGTTCTTATTTGCTGCTCAAGACTGCAGCCAACCACACCAGTGAATGCACGGCTTTATTCTATGGCTCCACAAGCGAGCTACATTCTATCTACAATGGCAAAGGTATGACTTGCTTGCTTTAAATGCATACAACCGAGACAAATTGCCCACTAATCTTGAATATATGATTTATGTAAAAAGGAATGATGATGGACTGCCCAGTAATTAAAAAATACCCATAAGGATTCTTCACTATACCCCAATAAACAAAGCCAGTGTCTTTCCTGGAATATAATGTTCAATATCATGAAAACTGCTAGACAATCTTCCCCTTTCCAGACAGTTTGTCACAATTCGTGTGGAAAAAGTGTTAATAAAAACTCGTCAAAAATGAAAAAGGCCAACCTTAAAGGCTCCTTTTCGTTAGTCACAACATTAGAACTATTTCACTAAAGACATGGAAAGCACTGAAGATATTATTCTATTGACTATTATGCGAATCTTGAAAAAGTGGACGAAAAGAACTTGCACCTAGGAGGAATCAAACCCGCGGTCTTCGAGAAATGCGTCCGATGTACTATCAAACGAAATACAGCGGAAAGCATCCACTCATCCACTTTATGCAATAGATATATGCATGCAAACCTGGGAGCGTTAGTCAGCATCACTGATAGCTACGACGCAGCTGTGGAAAACTTCCTGCCGGCTGGTAAAACGAAGCACGCGTGATGTTTACGAACTCGAAGCAGACCAATAATCCCTCGCATACTAGAATAAGCCACCCAGTCTACAAAAACGAGACTCTTGCTACGAACGAAAGTAGAAATTTCTGGGTTCGTTTTTCTATGTTAAGCGCTACGTGGAGTAGAACAAAATTAGACTCGCACTAAGAGCGCCTCGGAAAAGCCGTAAGTTTAGAGCAAGATTTCATATCCAGGTTCTGAGATTGCTGTTTACGTATGTGCACAGCCCTGTAGATGATGATGATGATGATGAAAAACATTTATTATAAAAGAGAGAGGTACGGGGCCAAAGCATGACCCCGCTACATGGTCGGCGTCCTTAGTCCGGGACACCGCATGACGAGGCCCCTACTCGCGCCCGTCTCACCAGAGCCCGTTGAGACTCTAGTGATGAGCAGTTGAGGAGGGCAGTCTCCCATGCTTCTCGGGAAGGGGTAGGGGAAGGGGGTAGGTGGGGATTTTTCGGACATGCCCATACCATGTGGAAGATATCACACGTCTCCCCACAGTGTGGGCACCGCCCTGTAGAATATCTCATTCCAACACAAGAAATACCCATTGAATGTAGACTTTGCACGAGAATATACCGTTCACAGCATAATCGACTAAAGCCACAGTATGTTACCTCGGCTGTGCAGCTGCGTCAGTAAAAGACCTGAAAGTAACGGTTAATTTTGAAGTATGGTAAGAGACCAGCACAAAGTAAACAGGCAAATTAACGTATTTTAAGAAGTACCACGCACGCTTCCGTGACAAACTATCTACCACGTGGCGCACGCGGATGCAAGGCAACGAGCGGAACCCACAAACCGAAATGCTAACGAAATGCACGGGCCCAACATGACCGCGGCAACCAAAAAGCCCAAGTTTCCGACTCCGGGATTATCAAAGCAACGAGTGAGACGTCAAGTCACTATACGGTGCATAGTGAGCACCTCAACACCTTTGGACAATATAACAATTCACAGAACGACGACTGCCACTAACTAAGATTGAAGCAAGGCAGGCCTTTGCTCACTGTTGCACTCACGGAAATACAAGAGTCATGCTTAATTGATGCAATGCCGGTAGCACGACCACCATCGGTGATAATGCGTCATCAGTGATAATGCGGAATATACTCATGAGTGGCACGGGGTGTATTAGTACGTATATGTACTGCGTCAGCGCTCCTAGAACGAAATGAAAACTTGTTGGGAGATAAGTACGCGTAAATAATATAAATGAAGCCTCACGAATAATGCTTGAGCATGAAGCCAAAGTTTCTTTATGCGCACTTGTCTGGCAGCCAAGTTCAAGCTGCAAAATAAAGAGGGCAAATGGTCAGCATCTGCAAAGAAATCACGTAAACCGTGGAAAGAACCCCAGCTAGAATAGGGCGAGTGAACGAACGCGAGTAAACTTCAAGCACCTGGACGCCGCGTTGCGACTGCCGAAAACCACATTACGCACCAACAACGATACAGGCACGAAATGATGGCTGCAGTCGAGCCACGGGCATTCCGGGTCGGGTCCACATACCGTTGACAGAGGCCTAACTAAGCTACTTATGCTAACCGCGAGAGCCTGCTTTGAGCTTCAGGGAGGTTGATTTGATTTATTTGTGTGGTATAACATCCCAAAACCACCATATAATTACGAGAGACGCCTTAGTGGAGGGCTCTGGAAATTTCGACAACATGCGGGCTCTTTAACGTGCACCCAAATCTGAGCACATGGGCCTACAACATTTCCGCCTCCATCGGAAATGCAGCCGCCGCAGCCGGGATTCGATCCCGTGACCTGCGGTTCAGCAGCCGAGTACCTTAGCCACTAAACCACCACGATGGGGCGAGCTTCAGGAAATTGGACCCGTGGTGTCACTATTGAAAGAATCCGCTCACTAAAGTTACACGCAACCTTAAACTTCGGTTGTAGTGTGAATCTATAGCGGGTGATGTTCGGCGATCGAACGCCCGAACACCTAGCCGCTCTGTCATGATAGGGGACTCACCAATTTGATGCCGAAGACGGAGCTCCCAGTGCTCCTCCATCATCAGATGACGTTGCTAGTGGTGCGCAGATCCATAAGTCCAGATAAAGTCAACAGGTAAAGTCCACAT